TGGCTGGGGGTGAGCGTAATAAGTTCTTCCAGGGATTCGTGAGGTAAAAGCGAGTCAAATCGTATATCCATAGCATCGAGGATAATGGGTCATCCGTGACCCAGGAGTCTCAGATACGGGAGTCGGCTAGGGCTTACTTCCACTCTCTCTTTTCCTCTGAGCGGGACTTGCTTACACACCCCGACCCGGCCCTTTTTCTGACCATACCGCAGTTGGTCGACCTCGTTGACCTCTGTGACCTCCCGAGTAAGGAGGAAGTCAGGGAGGCTGTGTTTGGGATCGATCCCAACAGCGTCTCCGAACCTGATGGCTTTTCGTCCCTTTTCTTCCAGTCCTGCTGGAAGATTGTGGGAACTGACATAGAGGAAGCTGTGAGGGAGTTCTTCTCTAGCCACCAGATGCCAGAGTCCTTCACAGCAACCTCTATCACTTTGATCCTAAAGAGACCGGGACCTAGCTCTTGGTCCGACTATAGACCTATTAGCTTATGCAACGTGACTAACAAGATCATCTCTAGAATCCTCAACGGATGCCTCTCCCCCCTTCTCCCCCACCTTGTCTCTTCAAACCAGAGTGGATTCATCAAAGATCGAGTAATTAGTAATAATATCCTTTAGGCTCAGGAGATGATACACGATATCTCTCATGCGAATCGAACACGAACCCCGAACCTTGTGCTGAAGCTAGACATGGCCAAAACATATGATAGGGTTGAGTGGTCGTTTCTCAGAGGTACTGTTTCGGATTAGATTCCCTAACCATTGGATTAGCTTTGTGGAGGCGTGTGTGGAGCACAACACGTTCTCCGTTTTGATTAATGGTAGCCCCACGACCTTTTTCCCTTCCACCCGCGGCCTACGTCAGGGGGACCCCTTATCCCCCTCCCTTTTTGTTCTGGTGGCTGACTATCTCTCTCGCTGCCTTGACGGCTTCATTCGCGACTTTCCGAGGATGACACACAGCACGCGTTGCTGTGGGCCTCCCATTTCTCACCTCTTTTATGCAGATGACATTATGATTTTCACTCGTGCGAATGATAATGAGCAAGTAGATCTCATGAGTCTTTTGGACCACTACAGTGAGACATCTGGCCAGCTAGTCAGTGTTAGTAAGAGCACTTTTATCATGGACCATCACATTGCAGACCATTGGGTTCACCGGATCCACGAACGCACTAGATTTTCTCGTGGGGATTTACCCATCCCTTACCTTGGGGCCCCCCTGTACAAAGGCCACCTCTCCCATGAGCTTTTCATCGATGTCCATCAGAGGATGATTGACCGAATTTCTGGCTGGTCGCATAGACACCTTTCCTTTGGAGGCCGACTTGTTCTGATCAAGAGCACTCTTTGTGCCCTCCCTCTTCACCTTCTCGCGGTGCTTTACCCCTATCAGTCTGCGATTCATGAGTTAGACCAGATTTTAGCCCGCTATTTTTGGAACCATGGCGAGGGCTCGCGGGGACGACGACAGACTCACTGGGTGAAGTGGGACTCCATATGTCGTCCTTATTCTGAGGGTGGTCTTGAGATTCGGCGTTTCTCTGATGTTGTTACTGCATTTTCCTACAGGATGTGGTGGCGCCTTAGGGAGGGCAAGTCCCTTTAAACCCAATACCTTCTGAGGAAATATTGTCCCGGTGGAGCTACTCATCTTGCAGGGTGACAACCACTACTCGAGATAGTCGACAGTGAAGACGGCTCACCATTGTTGGCAGACGTGCTCAGAAGCACATTTTTTGGACTTTTGGTTCTGGGGAGGTTAGCTTCTGGGACAAGTGATGGTTCGGCGAGGCCCCCCCTTTCAAGAACTAGGCCGGTCACTCACCTGCCTTTCATGCAGGTGAAGGACCTTTGGACGGGGGGATTTTGGGATAGAGATAAGATGGAGGATATTCTAGGTGAGGGTGGGGGTTTCAGTAG